CTTTCAAAGAATCGTAGACAAATCCCACTCAAAAAAAGTAGTCCTAGACAATTCAGCCCATTCATCAAATAGGCTGATCATGTTGACCCAATAGCCCAAAGTTGACCATCCTAGTAAAATTTGGACCACATCTTTAGTAGCATCCAATAGCAATGCACCGACTCAAAGGAATGATGGCTCTGGTTCCCAGTTACAATTTAATCTGAGTTATTCATCAAAACAAAAATTATTTATAAATAAAAAAAGACATAAATTTGGTATTGGGGCCGCACGGTAACAACTCCACTAAATAGAAGCTTTCAAAGTCATGGGCCCATGGAAGAAAGGTCAAAGAAGAAACCCAGATAATTCTCCAATTATTACTTATTAAGCACAACATTATACTTATTCTAAAGTGCATATGAATATATACTGACAACGAAAGTTAAAAGGACAAAATGACATCTCTAGCTAACACATTTGTTTCTCTATTTTATGAAATACTAGTCTTACCACATTTTTTATACTACAATTTTATACCACATGATGTGGTAAGTTAATGTATACATACCACATCATGTAAAATACTAGTTTCCCATTAATTTAATTGATATGACATATGATATGGACATGCCACATCATGTGGTATAGAAACGTGAGATAATAATGTGGTAAGTGTAACATTACTCCTAGCAAAAATAGCTGCAGCTTGAGCTTCAATTCAACCAACCTGCATAAACATTACTGTCATAGAATGTCAATTTAAATTTTAAAGCACAATTTTGTCTCAAGTAAAGGAGAGGCAAAATGAACAAATTGAGACTCTAAAATCCTTCACTTTCAGTAATCTAAAGAACATAACAATATATAAGGGGTTTGTAATTCAAATGGTTAAGAGTATTTATGACAACAGCTGAAATTCTAGGTTCGAAATCCCCCTCTTTAAATATCACTTGTATAAATTTTAAAAAAACATAGCAATACAAAATTCTAGAAATTAATACTAAAATCTTAATGCCCCACCATGTCTTAGTGCCTTAGATAGTCACTGTTGTCAAGCATCTAAATCATAATTATGAACATGGTTTAATATATATCTATCTACCTAATTTATAAGTTTACCATCCCAGAAAAAAGATTTTTGCTTTACATGAAAAAGATGTTGTGTGATTGGCTACCAGTGAGCCTTTCTTGTTTTTTTATGACCACCGACATAATTGTGCGCGTGTGGGGGTTGGCAACAAATTTGGCTTAAATTTAAGACAAGGAACGAGGCCAGATAAGACTTGGGATCTGCATTGTCTGTGGCCATTCCTCTGTATCCATTTTCCTGTCTTTTTTATTACTATTCTCATCAACTTATAATTATATTAATCAAGGGGCTCAGCTCATCAGTTTCTGCAACTTAGTACAAATTCCAAAACCCAATCAAAGTGCTTCTGCTCTCTTTCTTTAAGAAGATTGGAGTGTTCACTTCCATTCTCACATGATCTGGTGCTACATGTTAGGAGTTTAGTTAATGTCTCATTATAAGCTTTATCTTCACTTTCCTTAATTATATAATATTTATTTATTTTATATAATTTCTTATAATGAATTATGAATTTAGAAACACTTTTATTCCAAACCAGTAATGGTAATATGTGGAAAAGTAATATGGGGTCTCTGTTTGCTTCTTTAATGGACTAATCAGGTGACTAAAACCGTTGAACAAAATGCTTAAAAACATTTCCCCATAATGGTAATTTCCCATGTTGGGTAGCTTGTGGAGCTTTATGGTGGTGCCAAAAGATACACCCACACACATACTCCTCTCTCTGTCTTTCTATTTTGCTGCATTTGGTTTGAAATGCTGAGGCTTGAACTGGTTTTGTGAAGTTGTTGCAGTGTTGGATCTGGTTCTTTTTAACCAGGCCTCAAATGGGTTTGTGAGTTTTCTCAAATTTGGTCTCTGAGTTTGAAGGTTCCTGCTAAATTTTCAGTTTTTAGTGTTGGCTCTGTTTTTATGTGCTTTGGGTTTTTGAGCATTTCAATGCTGAGATCTGATTTCTGCAGATTTACCAGTCACAGTGAGGTTCAAGATTCTGTGAGTTGGATTTGGTAACCTACTTTTGTACTTCATAACAGTTCAGTTGAGACTGAGAGGTTAAAGCAAAAATGGCTCCAAGCTTGGATTTTTCCAGGTGGTGGGCAAAGAGCAATACAAGTAAGGGTAATCCAGTGGTGGTGACCATGGAGAACCCCAATTACTCTGTGCTGGAGATAAATGGTCCTGATGAAGTATTTAGGCCAGTTGATAAGGACAGAGGCAAGAATGCCAAGCAATTTACATGGGTTTTGCTTCTAAAGGCGCATAAAGCTGTTGGTTGTGTTGCTTGGCTGGGAAATATTCTTTGGTCATTGCTTGGTTCCATTAAGAAAAGATTGATATTTGGGCAAGGAGTGACTGTGGAGAATGAGAAATCTGGAAAAGGAAGAACCTTGTATAGGGTCATTATGGGATTCTTAGTCATGGCTTTAGCTTTTCTGGCTTTTGAACTGGTCGCCCACTTGAAAGGTTGGCATTATTTCCAGACCAATAGTTTGCATATCCCCCAAACTTTGGAGATTAAAGGATGGCTTCACTCAGTTTATTTTGTATGGTTGGAGTTCCGGGCCGACTACATTGCACCTGCAATTCAAGCTTTGACTAACTTCTGTGTTGCTCTCTTCTTAATCCAATCCGCCGACCGTATGCTGCTTTGTTTAGGTTGCTTCTGGATCAAGTTCAAGAAGATTAAGCCAAGGTTTGAAGAAACCCCATTGAAGTCAGACGATTTGGAAGGTGCAGGATGTTATTATCCGAAGGTTCTTGTTCAAATTCCTATGTGTAATGAGAGAGAGGTAACAGTCTCGATGCTTTTTTTCTGGTTAAAGTTTTACTGATGAAACTAGTGTAGCAATTACTAGTTTTGATTGATCTTTTTTAGTTTTTTTAGTTTTATCTGACCATTCAAATTTGAGTAACATTATAATTGGAAAGGTAAATAACTAAATACATAACTGTACAAATTGATTTCTAAGGCACTTTTTTACTAGTTTTCATGGATTATTCATGACTGTGACATAAAATGTATTTAGGTGTATGAACAATCTATTTCAGCAGTCTGTCAACTTGATTGGCCCAAAGAACGCTTGCTGATTCAAATTCTGGATGATTCTGATGATGATAGCATACAGTGGTTAATTAAGGGAGAAGTAGCCAAGTGGAACCAAAGGGGTGTTAATATTATCTACCGACATCGTTTGGTTAGAACTGGTTATAAAGCTGGGAATCTCAAGTCGGCAATGAATTGTGATTATGCGAAGGACTATGAGTTTGTTGCAATCTTTGATGCTGATTTCCAACCAAACCCTGACTTCCTCAAGCTGACAGTTCCCCATTTTAAGGTGGCTAGATCTCATATAGCTCTTTGTCTGGTCTCTATAGCCCTTTCTACTTTAGGTGACTGATTTTGGTTTGTGGTTCTAATTTGTGTGGTAGGACAATCCTGAGCTGGGGTTGGTTCAGGCTAGGTGGGCTTTTGTTAACAGGGATGAGAACTTGTTGACACGCCTCCAAAACATCAATTTGTGCTTCCACTTTGAGGTGGAACAGCAGGTTAATGGGGTTTTCCTCAACTTCTTTGGCTTCAATGGTACCGCTGGAGTTTGGAGAATCAAAGCACTTGAAGAATCTGGAGGCTGGCTCGAGCGTACAACAGTAGAAGACATGGATATAGCAGTTCGTGCCCATCTGAATGGTTGGAAATTCATATTCCTCAATGATGTCAAGGTAATTTTAATTATTTCAAATCCAAATTCAACCTTACCTGATCCTATGTTTAGTCCTTGACTATATGGTTTTTGGGCATTTTGCATCATGAGTTGGTAAAACCTTGCCTAAAACTTTTCAAATGATGTCTCAAATTTAAGAAACTGATTTTCAGGTCCTTTGTGAACTTCCTGAATCTTATGAAGCTTACAAAAAGCAGCAACACCGTTGGCATTCTGGTCCAATGCATCTCTTCCGTTTGTGCCTTCCAGCCATCATTAGTTCTAAGGTACTGTTACAATTAGATTCTCCTCTTTGATCTAGGTATTTTTTCTAAATAATATTGTTCTGAGAATGTACTATATGCCATACTGCAGATGATGTTCTGGAAAAAGGCAAACTTGATACTACTATTCTTTCTGCTTAGGAAGTTAATTCTCCCATTTTATTCTTTCACATTGTTCTGCATAATACTTCCTTTGACCATGTTTGTCCCTGAAGCTGAGCTGTCCATGTGGGTTATTTGCTATGTGCCTGTATTTATGTCATTCATGAACATTCTTCCTTCCCTTAGATCCTTCCCCTTCATTGTCCCTTACCTTCTGTTTGAAAACACAATGTCTGTTACCAAATTCAATGCTATGGTATCCGGCTTGTTCAAGTTGGGGAGTTCATATGAATGGGTTGTCACCAAGAAGGCGGGTCGGTCATCAGAGCCTGATCTGTTAGCTGTGGAGGAGAGGGAATCTAAGGCCATGAACCACCCACAACTTTACAGAGGAACTTCTGATAGTGGGCTCTCTGAGCTCAACAAATTAATAGAGCATCAAGAAGCTGGTCCTAAACCTCCTGTAAAGAAATTGAACAAGATCTATAAGAAAGAGCTAGCCCTGGCCTTCCTGCTGCTTACTGCTGCACTTAGGAGCCTTTTATCAGCCCAAGGGGTACATTTCTACTTCTTACTATTCCAAGGTGTTTCATTTCTACTGGTGGGGCTTGATCTAATTGGTGAGCAGATGAGCTAGAGATTTGAGGTACAAAATAATGGTACAGATTAAAATAAAGGGTGAATAAGAGATGGGAACCAATTTGGTTTTCAAAATGGTACCCAAAATTGGCACTGGTAGATGCAAATAGCTGCCCATATAGATTCTTTTTCTAGCTTTTGTTTGTCCTTGTATTGCTGCAATCATTTTTTGGGTTCATTTGTGACACGGGCGAGTCTTCCACATCAAATCCTCACACCATCTTCTTGTTTTCTTGTTTGGTTCATAACTTATTGGTGATTTTTATTTACATATAAGAATTCTGTGTGATGTTCTTAGATAAGCAATGTTTATTCCAATACCAGATAGGTTGAGTTCTGTAGTTTGAATTTTCAAATTTTACACATGTAAAACTCTCTGTATATTTCATTAGTTCAATTGATACCAGATTCTCTCTCTCTCTCTCTCTCTCTCTCTCTCTCTCTGCCATTTGTTCTTCCTTTCCTTTTCCCTATTATTTGTTGCATTTGTAAAAAGTGTCTCTTTGGAAATAAGAGAGAGGCAAAATTAGTGTCGGCAAGCAATGAGAATGGTGTTGCTCATGCTGTGGCTTTTCCCTTTGCCATCAAGGAAGATTCCTGACCTTGGATTTGCAAAGATTGGTAATTTTCCCTAAGCTATGTGATTATGCCCTACATTGGACCACACATATCTGGGTGCGTGCCAATCGTTGTTCCAATAAAGGCATGCATGATGGTAGCTGCAGAAAGAACCCTATGCATGATGGTAGATGCAGAAAGAACCCTACTCATGCAAGTCATGTGGACCTCAGCAGACCCTTCCAAAGCATCCTTTCTATAGTTTTGAACACTTTGAAGCCAACTTTTGCTTTTGTATGAACAATGTTGCTTCATTAATGACCAGACTACCACTCACAAAAAGATAATTGGTATTTTTCCCCTCATAAAATATTACAACTGCCTAAGTTGTATGTGTCACATGATGGTGTCTTGGAAACCATTTCTACTGCAGAAGACTCTTAAGGCTTGTGGCATAAGATGTAGGCACATTTGAGTGGCTTATTAAACAGAAAAATAAGCTAATGGTCTTGTAAGCTTCAACCATAAAGCAGAATCCTGCAAAGAGGGAAACTAATATATTGAAGATGCTCTCAACCATGTTTGTTTCTCACTCACTCACACCAATGTACTGATTTTCTTTTTCTCCTATTGAACCCAACATGGATAAAGAAATGGCCTTTTTTTGAGAACCTTTTCTATTAAGATGGGAGATAACTTACTAAACTCAAACACACTATATAAATGCTAGGATTAGAACCTAGGACTTTTCCTGAGAGAGCAATTGCTCCAAACCGCTACATTAGTGAGTCATTTGCAAGAAATGGTTTTTTTAAGTTGGCTGTAAATCTACCTTTCCCTTCATCCTTGCAACTAGAGACTTTACTATCTCTCATGGGAAGCAAGTGACAAGACTAAGTAACCACTTGATACACACTTTTCATTGTCTTTGGTAACATTCATAAATGAGCAGTGTGCCATTTGCATCCTCGGGCCTTGAGTGTTTGGGATTGAAATCAATTAAACAGACAAGAGAAGATGTGGCCAGCTCCCCTCCAATTTATTGTCTAAAGACAAAGCTGGGGAACCTGTGAAAAAAAAAAAGCTATAAACAGGATTCAGATTCATCTCATTCTTGTAAACTGCAAACCAATGGGTCCTTTAAAATCTTCTCAACAATTTCTCACAAAAATTAAGAAAAAAAATAAATTAATACAGATCAACCATGATCTTTTTAAAGATCATATTCTGCAGTCATTAAAGATGAGTGTCTTGTAGCAATGGAGCAAACCAAGTGAGCCCTACTGGCTTGGAGACTTCTGGCCTATTAGCACGGTCCATGTTTTTTGGCTGTTTTTCTCCATGTAGATAGAAGTTGACAACCCAATTGGCCAATTTGCATTACATATCAAAATGCATCATTGTGAACATATAATTATTGCAAACATAATTTCTGAATATGTATGTGAGAGAGAAAAAAAATTCATTTTGTTTGACTTGTCTATTTATAAACAGTCAATAGGTGTAACATTTCCCAAACATGTAATTTCTTTTAACGACCGGTCACATCCTCTCATCGTTACATTCAATTGTCACACCCTAAACTCTTTGCCAAAAGCCACTTTTGATGTGGTGTGCTGTGCCCTTTTCATCAAATGCCTCTTTGGTTAAGAGCTCTTCTATTGGTTTTCTCCTCTGGTGCACCAAGTTTATTGTGCCTTTTCACACACTGAACTCAGTTGCTCTCATGGAGTAGAAAAACTTGTGTGAAATGATTATCCCCGGCCATTCACGATTTGCCAAATGAAAAGTTATCACGCGTGGCACACCGTTATTAGTCGGGGATAGCAAAAGTTCTACACAAGTGTTCTTCCTCATGGACGATGGCTTAAGCCATGCCATGATGGCCATGATGGCCATAATGATAAATACCGATAATTGATTATCAACATAATCACATGCTCCTCGACATTGAGCAAGCAACTTGCCATGAGGAATTTATAACTCATCAAAAAATCTGAGGCAGGCATCATCAGCAATCCCTACAATTAGTTGGTGGCTTGTTTAAATGATAATAAGTTGTAGCCAGGCTGCCTTGCGTTTTCATGTCCTTTAAGGCCTTTCATGTGCTGCACTAAATGTCTCTCTCCCTAATTTGACAGGTTTGGAATATGCTGATCTGAAAATTCCCAGTTCATTCTTCCAAAACACATTTGCTTCTATATCCAGCATTGACCATATTAATTGAACAATTTGTTATATATTGACTTCATAAAAAATAAATGCTGCAACTTTGATAAAAACCACTTTATAGATCAAATTAATTTGAATCACTTGCGGTTGGCTTACACTAACAGGAATTGATCTTCTCCTGATCCCTACCCCTTCTGTACTTGTTTTCCAAACACCTTACAACATGAGCTCCCCAGCTACAAATGATTACAGCATAGTCTTTCACCTTTTCTAAAATATGATCCTCATGAGAACGATTACTCATTTTCTCTAAGAGCAGAATAATCTTTCACCATCAGAATCTCGCTGCATAACTTTTGTGGTACCTGTTGTAATTCTTTTCCTTCTTGCCATGCTTGCCCTACTGAAACACCCGGTCCCAGATGACGAACATACACAACCATTTGATCGTTGAAAGGATATGGATGCTTGACTACAAAAACAAAATGCACATATAAAATTATTTACAGTTAGATAATTATATCAGTGAATACCATACCTATGTTACAAAAATAAATTTGCATATGGAAAAAATACTTGAGCTTGTGTTATTAATGGCCCTTGCAGAAGCTAATGTTTGAGCAAACAGACAACTTATTGGCAAACAGCTGGTACCACAACTAAACCCTTTAGTGGCAAACACAGCTCATTGGCAGTTAGTATGGCCAGACAGTTTTCAATCACAGCTCAAAGGAAGTAGAGATGATACGAGAACTGGAAGTGGAAAGTGACGGGAACCGAGAACATAAATTTCTTTTTGGGGAAAATTGAGAACCTAAGGAAAAGCATGTTGAGAAGACTTACAATATATGCAAAATATAGGTAAGAATGATTTGGAGTATATGATATGTGTATTGTGTACACACATATTTATAGAGATCAAAGTTCCTGGACCTGTGCACCAAGTGCTCCAATTACTCCACATCTTTTAGAAACATCGTTGAGATGATCTACCATGTCTAAGTTTATAATTTTTGAATAGGCTAAGATACCATGTCTAATTTATTAGATTAAGACATCTCGTCAGAACATTCTTTTCTCATGTACTTAGCTTTTTCATTGGAAAAGTTAAGATTAATTTCTTTGAATAAAATAAAATATCCACACGAAATTTTTGCAAAGAATGACCACTGCTAATAGTGAACTAGTGACCACATTGCATTGGATGTATGGAAAATCATACCTGGTTTTGGAAAACCCTCTGGGTATTCATGGAGATCAAACAGCCCATCCCCAAATTCATATGCTAGATCACAAGGTTGTTCAGTTGGCATTACTTCCTTAAGCTGTCTCACTACGAAGTACAAAGGACTAAAGGAATTTGCAAGTCCAGTAACAAATGATCCACCTGATTCATTACAATAATTGTTAAGAGTAATATCAACAAACTGCTTAGAGTTATATCAACAAACTTGATTAATTGTAGCCAATTAACCTCTACTCTTGGAATTGCAAACCATGCAATGAAAAAGTGGATTGAAAACATCCAAAACAAACTCATCCTAAAACTTTCAACTAAAATATGAAACTTACAGCTATTATAAGAAACCTCAAAGTACATGCTAAATTACAGTATCGGTAGTTCTATTTCTTATTCCAAACTATTGATAAACTATTGATAGTATCAATAGTTCTATTTGGATTCCTTTCTTTGGAAACAAAATAATTCTTTTTGGATTCTTCCTCAAGATACGGATTAACTTTCCTTTAGTTTTACTGCACTGCCTTATAACATCCACCAAACCTTAAACTATCAGAGCAGCTCGCTCCCTCTGCAATTCCTCCAGTAAGAACAGCTCCTGTTCTATCCTACAGTTTTAGATAGATGCTTGTAGCTCAATCTTCCACCTCCTCTCATTTCCAATGAAATATTCTGTTAAGATTGGATATCACTCATGCAAGAAGCAATCAAGCATAAGAATAACAGAACAGATTACTCTATTTTTGCAGTACATAACTGCATATTCAATATAAGGACTAATGAAACACATCGTGATTCATCTTCAACTGATATACCATGCTATCACATTTAGAAGGATAATGTTTGACAAGGAAAATCCTGTCAATATGCATAGGCCATGTGCTTAAAATCCCACACCATAGCTCTAAGTTATGTCCATAATGCTACAGAAAGGAACTATATATTGTATATCATGGACCAATAAGAATCTAAATTAGTAACCAATGAAGCTTATTAATCTTATGGCACTGAATTTCTGTCATCACTTGTCCTAACTAATGCAACATGAGGGGGAAGCATTAAACATAAGTATTTGAATTTACTGTAACTTCATAAGTATGACTTGATAAATACAGTAGCTGAAACTCATAATTTACCCATATAACAGCATGTACTTTGGAGGTCTACTCCATCAACTTGCATAATATTATTCATGCAACTCTAACTTCAGCCGTAATAATTGCACTGACAATCAGACCTACCATCTTACACTTGAATTATAGACGGATGTAAATGGGAAAATAAAGATTCAATAACTCATCCATCACCTTAAAACTTGCACCGAAAATGATTTAGAAATAATATAGATAGATGTAAATGGGAAAATAAAGATCACAAGAACTCATCCATTGCCAATCCCCATGAATATTAAGAAGCAAGGGAACATGCTACATTCAATTCAATTTTAATTTTCACGAGATGTGTAGTAAAAAAAAAGCAAAATTAAATTACAAAAATCATAGAGGGTAAATAAGTTACCAATAAATCGTCCATAAATCTCCCCGTCCTTCCAAGAAAAAATTGCCTGGAATTTGCAGAACATCCAATTACACATCCCCTACAATACATGCATATACAAGCAGGGAGAAGAAAGGAAAAATCAATAGGAGTACAGGAGTTACCTTCTTGAAAGAGTTTATCCAAGAAATGGGCATTGGTCCTATTAAAGATTATCCAATATCAGTGCCACAAAAATTTTGAAAGGTAAATAAGATTCAGATTAAAAGGAGGCTCAAAATATACTTCTCCATGGGTTATTGCTATAACAGAAAAAGGTGGCATTTGCGAGCAAGTAACCTAGCCTATATAAGGAAATTAAGCACATAAATTCTCAGAAAATGAACTGGTTAAAATATGCAATCAGAAGTTTGAGAAAGCCTACTTCAACAAGGGGGATAGCAAATAACCATCCAATTATGACCAGAAATGTGCTATTTCCAACTAAAACAGTCCTACAAAAAAAAATATCCAACTAAAAGAGGAAACTTCCGCTCATCTAAATAAAGTCAGCAAGTAGTTTTTAACATCATATAAGCAGAAACTTTCATGTTGTTGACATCAATAGTTTATGAACTGTAAACCAATAAACTACGCCAACCAACAGATTACATTCATTATTAAAAAGCACTAATGAGGACATTAGAGCTTCCAGTAGAAAGAGCTCGATCTATGTAAGTTACCTCCATTTGTTCGGCAATTATAATATTCAAGAGAAATTGCACCATCTTCATTGGACAACAATTTAGATGCACTTCTCTTGGCTAAGTTGGGATCCTCGTATCTTGTGCCAGCTATCTCCCAAGCTCTTGATATGAGCCTGCATTAAAATTGTCCAGATGTCAAAGACTCTACATTCAATCTATTAATTTTAAAAGAAAAATTCTTTATAAAATAAAGATACATAAGTGCCTTATGTCTTCATAACTTGTCATTGTAAGACGAGATTCAATGGATTTTATAGTATAACATAAACAAGTTACCTAGGTTCTAGCAATCGCAGCAGTCGATGACGCCTTTCCGGAGGAATATCATCAATTTTTTTCCTAACAAACACAGACATACAATTTAAAAAAGGGTAACTAATTAAGAATTAATATTTGTTCTTTTTCTCAGCATTTTCACAACAACGAAGAATAACTTCAAAGTGCCATAAATCTAAGTAACAAAATAACATAAAAAAATGATAATGATTGAAAAAACTGACCAAAGATATGCAGCGGGATTGTAAGAAGCCGAGTCCAGAGGAATCAAGTCCTTAGGAGGGTCAAGAAATGTGACAATGTCTTGCTCATCCAAGTAAGATTTTCTCCCAGTTGGAAGATATTCATATGGTTTCTCATCCCACGAAGATACATACCCTCTCCCACCTCCATTGACAGCACAAACTACACCACCAGTATACTGTAGAGACCCACTGCTGTACAACTGCAAGCCTGCACGCCCAAATAAAGACCGTAATCATACGTCCATACAAGTACATGCCATTTTTCTAAAACTGGAGACAACAAGACAAAACTAAAGGAGCATAATTTGCAGTTATACACACAAATACGTAAGTCCATACATAAGTACACACAAATCACACAAGCAAAAGTACAGTTTCACAAGCTTAAACAAATGAACAACATGATATGGCCCTTTTGATTTCAGAGAAAATAAAAAATTGTGCTTCATTTTTCCAATTACTTATGAAAAAAGAAAACTAAAGCTTTAGCTAAACCGAACAACGAGCTGGTTCACTGACTTAACACTTCAATGAAATTCTGGGTTATCTACTTATTGTGCTTACTTGCCTCCGCAACTAAACAAGAGGAAAATAACTTCTTCTTTTTTTCTTTTTGGATGGAGATTGAGTTGCGGAGTTTCCAAATTACATAGGAGTGAAAAAGAACTCACCTTTGACGGAATTATATCGACCAAGTAGACACCTTTGGTAAGGGAAGTTGATTTGGCGGGAAATGGGTGATGAGAAGAGATTGGATGGGAGGGGACGAATGGGATTGTTGAAGGTTGCTGCTGCTGCCTCTGCCTTCATTTGCTTCTCATCAAAATGCAAAACAAGTTTTTGGGTTTTGGAGGGCACTCTAGAAATAGAAAGAAAGGTTTATTTTTGTGCCCCAAAAAAATGTTTTTTTTTTTTTAAATTTCAAGTCAAACTTCAACACCCATCTGGCTTTCGATTTGTTACATCCCTAGGCCTTATTCCGCTTATCTTGTAGCCGCAGATACATGATCTCTGCTCTCATTTTCTTCGCATTTTTCTGATCCCTTTCCAACTTATCATCATAATTATCATCACCACCACCCCTCCATTCTCAACTGTTGTCCAAACTGTCACTATTTTTTTTTAAGTCTGCAGCCTTCTCAATCTCATTGACCACCAAAAAATTTCTCACAATATTTGTCTCTACTTCTCAGAAATCAACCCAATTGAATTAACAATCTTACACGAGCTTTCCATCAAATGCTTCTCCAAACTCAGTCTCTCACAACCCATGTGGCTCTTCCATTCACTCCTTCAAAACCAATTCCCAAAACCCAATTCTTCACTCCTTCAAAGCAAAATCCGTTTCTCAAAACTCAGTGGAGAACACTAAAATGCTCGCTTTCGACTGTTTCAGAGCCGACCCACTTGGAGAAGAAGACCCATAAGCCGTTTCCGGCTGAGGTTTCAAGGACTATTATGGAGTTGGTGTCTGTGGGCACGCTTTCTACTTTGACCCAAGAAGGTTGGCCTTTGGGTATTGGCGTTCGCTTCGCTGTTGACCCAGAAGGCACTCCAGTCTTGTGCTTGAATGCCTCTAATCGGCAGTTCTCCATTGACAGGAGGTCTAGCTTCCATGTCCAGGTGCTTTTCTCATCGAACACTATGTGTTTGCATTTTGTTCACAGCCTTAAAGGGCTCTAATTTTCTAAGGTATATGGTTGATTATGAAGCTCAATGTAAGGCGGCGTTGTTATTTTCTTTGTTGCACAGTTAGAGCAATGTGGGCTGCGGACGCCTCAATGCACGATATTAGGTAGCATTGACAAACCAGAAGACAGGAAGATGTTGAAGGTAAATTATGTTTGCTTAGGTCGAATAGGTTTACTTGGAAGTGCTCTGTTATTTATCAATTTATCATTTATGTTAGAATGTAATTAGCTCGTTGTTAGTGTGCTGCTTAAGTTGTTTAAAGGAAGCATGTTAAAAGCATAATTGTTGCTGATCTTTTGGGGGGACTAAAGATGGAATTCACTGTGAAGGATGCATAACTTGAAAGTAAACATATTTATGATGCTTGGTTTTTGGTCGAACTTCCGTAGTCTTCCACCAACTGCAACTAGTCCGTTTCAAATTTTGATTGCATTATTTGCATTAGGATAGAATATTAGGATGTTTATGGCAGACTGCCATGGCTTTTTTCAAGTAAGTACTAGAGCTATCTCTCATCTGCTCCCGGCTTGCATAACCTTTAAACAGTATGATTTATGATTGACCAACTTGTACCGTATTATGGTTCTGAGGTGCAGGTTATTGTTTTGTGTGTTATGTGCAGTTTTGACTCTAGGATTGGGTTGGATTATTGTTTGGGTGTAATTGGAAGTTGAATATAAGGGCAGAAAATTAGAGGATAAGATATGTTGTAAGGGCTTCCAGGAATCTCACATGGGAGAAGTTTATTGGAACCTCAACATTAAAATAAAGTGACCTTGCTGAAAATTTCAGTTTGTGTATCTCTTACAAAGCCTTGCTTATAGAGAGGCAATCTGATATAAAAAAGAAAAGATTTCTTAATAATAAGCAACACAATTAAATTAAAGGGAGTTTCACTAAAACACCCAAAATGGAGGTTGAAATTATAAAAAAACCCAACACCCAAAACACTTTATAAACACACCCAAAAAGTTAACTTTGGGATTGATTTTGGGTGTGTTTCTATATTTAAATAGTGCTTGGGTTTTTTTATAAATACATGTCTAGGATTGGGTTTATTTATAAATTTGTATAAATGATGAAACCCAAAAAAGGAAATCTTATAGAAAATCAGTTTCCAGATACCCAGAATCACTGCAACCTGAGGCAAAATATTTCTGTGGTCATGCTCTGGGCTTTCTGGACCAGGCTGTGTCTAGACTTTACACCACTTTAGTATATTGGCTTGGCAATGAACCTTCCTGACTTAGTTGGTCTTCCAAATTTGTACAGACCTAAACTCCAGGATTGTGTGGTTGGATTTATGTGCTGGACTCAGTCCTCCAACAGAAGCATAGACAGTCCCATGTAGGTATTATGTGTAGTGGCTTCTTGATACCTTATTAATCTATTATTTTCAACTAAAAAAGCCCTATTGATCCATTTAAAGCTAATAAAAAGCATTCATGTGTGATCTGTTTTTTTGCTAGTATATATGTGTGAGGTGTTATATTGTTATAATCTGATCTTTCATTTGGATGTTCAATGCCATTACTGTCAGTACCTTCATTCAGTATGGACAAAGAGGTTTGGAGAAGAAGTCGACGAAGATCTTATATATGTTGTTTCTGTGGAACGGGTACTTCAGTTGGAGGACTTTAAAGAGGTATTTTGGTGTTTTATTTGCTCCTGTGCTGGACTAGTAATTATAAGCAATAGTTATTTACGATACTGGTATGGCCTAATCCTATAAAGTTTTGCCTGTAGCTCTTAAATTGGTATGTATTTAGACAGAGGACTTATTCAAAGGCTTATCTGTTTTCTAACTTTGATGATACTTCACAGGGTGGTGTATGGGTTACATCTTCAGATTATAAAAATGCACAACCTGATCCTCTTCGGGACTCTGCGGAAAACCTAGTGAATGAGATAAACACCAACAACATTGAAGATATTAACCGTTTCTGCAACATCTATGCTGATTTGAAATTCCAGGTTTGTGCCAACCAACTTTTTGTGATCGTTGGTTATGTCTTCAGTTGCATATTGATTCCTCACTACCAGAAACACTCAATTACATTCAAGATTTGTTAACTTAAACTAGACAATGCCAAGACTAGTTGCAAGGTTTGGGTCAAAACTAATGTGTTTTTTAACCTTGAAAAGAAAGCAACCAATGAGTGAGCTTTCACTTGAGGGGTTCATGCAATTTGATGCAATAAATCATCCTAGCAGATTTAATTGAAGGAGTGTTTCAACTCTTGCCTAAAAGATGGACTAATTGACAATCCCAAGTTAACTCCAATGTGTCATTTTTCAGTCATCCAACCCATAATTTGTATCATTGCCTGTTCAACAATATTGAGGTGTCAGAAAAACCTTCCATTTCTATTACAGGATTTCTATAAACCAAATAACCATTTTTCCTCAAGAAGCTTGAGAGCATTAACTGTTTAGTAAAAGTGTTTATTAACTTTCCTTGAGGACTGGTTTATACATCACTTTCAGTGAATCTGCGTTTAGTTGTATTTTCTCTTGCAATGTGGTCATGGTACACTGTTTTGCTTTGCAGGTTTCTGAAGCAAAATTGATTTGGATTGATCGGTTAGGCTTTGACCTGCGTCTTTGGTCTCCTCAGGAAGGTATATTCGAGGTTCGCATTCCCTTTCCCAGGGATGTGATCGACGAGAAGGGTGCAAAATCAACATTTAATTGTATGTCTCAATTAGCTTGGGAGGTGGAAAAGAATTTCTATGCCCCAGATTTTGAAAGAGTGAAACAAGTTAAGCAGATAGCATACAAGGGAGAGTAAACTTTGTGTGTGCTGTGTTTATAAAATGTATTGATATGCTTCCTTTAGCTGCAAAAGAGGCAACTTGGTTGAGCTTGTTACTTTGTACAAGGCTTTTAATATGCCCTTATTACTAACTTTCAGAGATGTCACAATTTTGAGATTGTATTTGAGTTCCATATAATTTGAGAAATAAATTTTAATCCTTTTTATGGCAAATATAATCTCATTATAATAGTTAACGGGGTCTAGCCTAATGAAAAAGAATCTTGACTTGGAGACCCGTGTGTGTGAGAAAACCTCTCTCCCCTTTCTTAACTTTGGCAACAAAAAAAATTCCATTATGCTCTAATGTCTTGAAAATTGATGTAAAGGTTCACAATGTTATCAAGTTCTCTGAGGAATTGTTTCCTTTCGGAATTTAGTTGCTGTAATGTAGTCAGGCTGGCTGAATGCAACTCTTTTCATCCTTCCATAACAAATCTATTTTCATACTTCCATAAATACACCCCCAAAAAAATGCAACATATTCCAGTCCTAGAAAGAAAAAAGAAAAAAAGAAAAAATCCACAATCCGCATGATGACGTGGACCATTCTGTAAAAGAAGAAAATAACAAAGAAAGAAAAAATAGCGGCAAAAGACAAAGAAAAAACGAAGGAAAAATATAAAGATACTCATCATAAAAATGTCAAAACCCTAGACCCTTTTCTATCAGAGTGAAGCAGAGCAGGTAAAGCTCTCTCTGGGTTTTGAGAGGGTTCGTATTTAATTAATCAGAATCCATTAACAATATATTCTTGTATTATATTTAAGTAGGTGATGGGACTCTCTAATACCCTCGGTTGGTTGTTGGCAATTGGCGTTTGGTGCAGTGCATATCTCGCAGTTGCAATCTTCTCGTCTTCCCCAATCTTCAACTTTCTCCGTCTTCTTATCTGAATTAGCAGCTTCGGAAGAAAACCCAGATATCTAAAATGGGTTATGCACAACTGGTTATTGGCCCTGCTGGCAGCGGCAAGGTAATTTCACACCATGATTGACATTTTTTTATTTTTTTTTTATGTACCCAATACTTGAATCAGTCGATTTCTTGCTCTAATTTGCACCAACTGTTTGAATGTGGGATACATCATAATCACATAGGCAATCACTATGATTATATATTGTTTTTATGTTTTTATGTACCCATTTCTTGTTTTGATAAGTATGTTTGCTTCTTGGAACCAGTCGATTTTCTGCTCTAATTTGCACCAACACTGTTTGAATGTGAATGTGGGATGCATCGTAATCACATGAGCAATGAGTATCGATTAATATGTTTGCATGTTTTTATGTACCCATTACTAGTTTTGTTGAGTTCTCTTCTTGGAACCAGTCGATTTTCCGCTGTAATTTACACTAACACTGTTTGAATGTGAGTGTGGGATGCATCATAATAATCACATGGGCAATGAGTATTGATTAATATGTTTGCATTTTTTATGTACTCACTTTGATGAGTTCGTTTGCAACCAGCTGACTAATATCTCTAATTTGCACCAACACTGTTTGAATGTGGGATACATCATAATCACATGGGAGATCACCGTGATTAATATTTTTACCCATTATTATTTTTGATGAATTTGTTTGCTTCTTGCAACCAGTCGACTTATTGCTCTAAATTGCACGAACACTGTACAACTGTTGGGAGGAATATTCATATTATTAACTTGGATCCTGCTGCAGAAAATTTTGACTACCCTGTGGCCATGGGTAAGTAGTCAATTCATTTATTTGGTCACTTGTTTTCATTCACTGCACTCAACTTGTGTTCTCTTCTTCTCTTTTCCCTCTTGCAGATATTAGGGAGCTTGTTTCCTTGGATGATGTTATGGAGGAACTTGGATTGGGTCCCAATGGTGGACTTTTGTACTGCATGGAGTATCCTTTATTTTTTCCCCTCAAATTGTTCTTTGCATTTCTTATGGTTTTGTTTCTTCTTGTTTATTTTTCACCTGTGAGAATTGCAATTTTTTAAAGGGCTAACAGACATGGAATGTTCACGTGCGGAAAAAACAGTGAATCATTTATGCCACTTCCGGGTGTGATCCCTCTCTATAAAAACTTTAATTCTTTGGTGAATGACCTTAATCTTGATTCCTAGACACCTTGAAGACAATCTGGATGATTGGCTCACAGAGGAATTGGACAATTACTTGGATGATGACTACTTAGTTTTTGACTGCCCAGGTATCCATACTAACACTGCATGCTTTGTTGTCTGTATTTATTATCATGCACTAGTGGTTGAGATCTATTGATGAAAAGCTGACTACAATGAGGTTAAGGTCTTTTATGAAAGTAATTACATTAAAAGGGAAAAACTGAAATGGTGGAGTTTTTTTTATAGGGTCAGGGAAAGAATACTATGTAAATAAACAAAAAAAGAAAGAACTACGGCTCGTGTATCTGTTTATCTAAAAGAGGGGCCGTTTATCTAGAAGGCATTCATATAGATATATTTTCCCTGGTCACTTGTTACCACACGATGCTATCAGTGATTTAACTTTCGAGAAATAGGATTAAAAATTGGTACTGCATGGTTTTTCATACTAGTAAAATAGAATTATGTCAGGGCTCCTAGTCCTCTGTGTGTGTGTGTGTGTTTTAAAGGAATTGTGTGACACAAAATAATTTGAGACTTCTGCTTTTGTTATAGGCCAGATAGAACTTTTTTCGCATGTTCCTGTGCTAAAGAACTTTGTGGACCATTTGAAGCGTAAAAATTTCAGCATCTGCGCCGTATATTTGCTTGATTCACAGGTCTCTATAACTTTTATGTTCTACTCTGTAGCCTTTTCTCTTCCTGCCTTGGCATTACTTGTTATTCTGTTTCTCCCCAAATGAATCGTTCCAATTTCTATTGAAACAGTTCATGACGGATGTGACAAAGTTTATTAGTGGGTGCATGTCATCCCTTTCTGCAATGGTTCAACTTGAAGTACCACATGTCAATATCCTCTCCAAAATGGACCTTGTGGCAAAAAAAAAGGATCTTGAAGAGTGGGATACTCTATTCTCTCCTACTGCTATCACCTTGCATGTTTTTTCAATCTGTTTAGCTTCTTTTAATTGCTCAATCTGTTCTGCATTTTTAATGTTTCAGTTTCTTGAATCCGGAGCCTCAAGTTTTGTTATCAGAGTTGAATCAACGCATGGCTCCTCAGTTTGCAAAGCTAAACAAATCTTTGGTTGAACTGGTAAGTGAGAAGCCACTGAAAACCCAAGAATACTTTTTTGAACTTTGAGATTTGTTGCAGGAGTTCTCAAGATTTTGGTCACGATGCACAATATCTATATTGGTCTACACATAAAAATACACAAAATTGCATTACTGCAAATAGTGACCATCTTCAACTGTTTGGTTTGTTAGGTTGATAATTATGGCATGGTGAGTTTTGTGCCTCTAAACTTGAGAAAAGCGACAAGGTACTCTATTTTTATGCATGTTTGCCTGGATGTCTTTAGTCTTATCTTGTGATCACTCTTTTGCACGTCTAAGATGTGTTGAATCTATAGATTACTTTAAATTGTTTTTGTGTTTTCATTTTCTTTACATTAACTCTTTTATTAACGGGTAAGTAATCTTAGAGTAATGTTTCTTCTGTTTTCCTTCTTTTTTGGCAGCATAAGCTATGTCCTGGCTCAGATCGATACCTGCATTCAGTATGGAGAAGATGCTGACGTGAAGATTAAGGATTTTGATCCAGAAGACGAAGATTAAGGAACTTGATGATCTAGAAGATGGCTGAGCTACCTTATTAAACTTTTAACTCTTGTTCTTTAAATGATCTAAAAGATGGGGGTAGCATTGTGAATATGCAAGACCAAATTATTAACTCTTGTTTGAAATATGAGAATTATATGTGAAAGAGTAGAACTATATGAAGTACATTTCTGATTTATTTAACTTCTATTACAGTATCAAGGCTAAATAAACTTTTACATGTTTTATTTCTTTTTGTTGGCAATAAGGCATTTGATCAATTCATCCAATTTCTTATCCGACGATCCGCCTTTCTCCACGGCATGCCTTGCCATGGTCCCAAATAGTCCTGCCCTCTCCCTAGCCCTCCTCCCCTTCTCACCTCCCATCAACTCCTCTATTCCATCACAAATCACATATCGGTCAAGGGCAGTGGTCTGCCCTTGTGAAACCATTAACCCTGCTTTCAATCCTATTGCAACATACTGGGCATTCAGTGGTTGCTCTGCTCCCATTGGCCAGGCCAATAGAGGGACCCCCATTGACAAGCTCTCCAGCACCGAGTTCCACCCACAATGGCTCAAAAACCCTGCCACCTTTGGGTGTGCTAGGATACTCCGCTGGTCCACCCAATCACATACAACCAACCCCATCCCTTCCACCCTTCTCTCCCATCCTTCATCCGAAGCCCAGGTCCCCGATCGGATGGCCCAAATGAACCGACATCCTGCCATCTCCAGCCCATAAGCGATCTCGTCCATCTGATCCCCCGACAACCGTGCTTGTGTACCGAAAGACGCGTAGATCACCGCACTGGATCCGTCTTGCTCATCCAGCCACTTGATGTAGGGACATGATTCACTCTTATCGTGGGACCCACGAGTCCCTCGTGGAATATAATCATAGAGCAGAACGGGCCCCACACACACACCATGCCTTGGCCTGCTTGTGCAAAGCTTCCAATGCAGCCACGTACTCGCATTCAAGCTCCTGAAAGCTATTCACAATCACACCCCAGCTATTCCTATCGGCCTCTTCAACCTCCCATATCATACGTGAAAACGGGTCATCCTCCGGGTCATTGCTCCGGGGCTGTAAGTCGGATCTATCCAATGTGAACGGAAGACTCAAATCGGGCAACTCTACTACAGAACCCGAAACCGACGTCGGTTCACGTTGGACATCCATGGAAGAAACGGTTTTAAGAACAACCATGGGCAGCAACCCCATCCCATGCGACACAACACGTGGAATGTCGAAAGAGCGACACGTGTCGAGCGTCCAACTGAGAAAGAAGTCAGAGATTACGCAAATTGGGCGGGAACCATTTCCCACCATCTCCTTCAGAAGAGATTCGAATGGCTGTTTCATGTTTTTGGTGGCTGCGATGAAAGGAACGAGGAGCTCCATGGAAGGAAGGCTGGCGGTGTTCTCGCAGCCTCGAGGGAGGTCAGGGACGCTTGGAAATGGCACGACGGAGATGGAGATTGACGAGCAGTCTGAAACTTTGGAGCTTATAAACGGTGCGTTTTGCAGGGTGGTGACGACGGTGACTTTCAGGCCACGGCTTGACAAGGCCTTGGATATGTCTAGCAATGGAATGGTGTGGCCTTGAGCCATGAAAGGGAAAATTACTGCATGGGGTGGTGGTGGTGGTGGAGAGGAAGTAGCCATGGTCACTGGAAATAACAAAATTCGAATGAGTTGGGTTTTATTTATAGAGTTTGATTATTGAATTAGAATTTTAAATCTACGTATTGTTCATAGAATCTTATAGAGTTTAATGGCTTTCCTAAACGTGTGAGGCTCCGCATTTTCAATTTCAAAGTGCAATTAATCTAATTACCTATGCCTTCATTCAATGTTTAATTCTCTGCACTTTGCCACCATTTTGATGAGTGAGTAGATTTTCTTTGCAAATGTGATTAATTACAACAAAGAATAATTAATGGTTTTTTTTTTCATAGATTTAAAATTGAGACGTCGTATGATCAAGTGAAGAGAAATATCGCTATATTAATAGACTAGTTGTTTCGAAGATAAAACGAACTTTAACAAGAGTGTAAACATATACTTAAATTTATATTTTCCTTTGTACTAGCAACATTGTCCTAATAATTAAAATTAAGATAGAGTGCTGCTAAACGAACTCTAGATATTAATTGATACACCCTATGATATAAGTATATCCTAATATTTAAATTATAATGTAAAATTACCTAAGTACACCATATTTAACTACCAAAATTACTCTTAGTACACCCTAACACTTTATCACATTAATAACGCTACGGTCACCAACTTAAATCTCAATTTTTGAATACCAATACATGTGGCACATAACATGCCAATACATCTCATTTGCCACGTCATATATTCTTTTTATGCTTTCTCTGTTCATCTACTTTTGTTGGTATTGATTCTTTGTGAATACCATTTATGAATTATTGGCCTTATTACATCAGGTTTCATGTTGGTTTGTATCCGGCACATGGTAAATATGTGTTCGTATAAATTGGAAAACATACCCACACGATTCTATCAATCCAAAGTACAACAATTCTTTATCCTCAATCAAATTTTGTGAAAGTACTAACTTTTCTTTTGATGATGGACAGCTGATGCACTCATCTCAACTGGCTTAGCAGATTTAGGCTATGTGTATGTCAATATAGGTATTATTCTGGCATACCTTAAGTATTTGGCAAACTTAATACATACTTATGTTTATGATGTTATTCAATGTCATTGACTGCAGATGATTGCTGGTGTCGAACACGAAATTCGGAAGTCAGTTGAATTCCATTACTTCAACCAAAACATAGTTCACCGTCTCTATAACTTGTATAAGCAATTTTTGATTTTGTGGTCTGTGAGGAGCACCATCTTCATTTTATATGAAGAAAATTTGGCATTAATGATTCAAATGCAACTTCTCATAATTACATCTCAGTCTAGTAGTTATAACTCGTTTGTCCTCTATGTGTCTATGCACATAGAGGATTAGCATAGATGAATATATGCAAGGTTTTCTATAAAAGTTCTTTGCATGGGAAAACTTGTAAAATTGAGCAATTGATGTATATTTGAATTTTGATTCCTTAAAGTTGTTGTTTGGTTGAGTAGGGTCAACTGGTCCCTGATCCTAAAACATTTCCCTCAGGAATTAAAGCTCTTGCCGAGTATATACACGGAAAAGGACTCAAGCTTGGAATTTATTCTGATGCTGGGTAAGTTGAAATTTTTATGTATTTTTACTTGACTATCTAGTGTGCTATACTTGTTGAACCCGCCAGATATTTAAGTGGATAACGCATTATATGTTCCTAGTTCTAGGGTATAACAAGATAGGTTTAAATGGTAATCTGCCTTTTCTTTAAGATTGAATTCCATAAGTAAAATACATGGAGAGTTTTCTCGGGAGGATCTTTTGTCCCCCTTTCTTATAAAGGATCTATCCCTATTTATAGGGGGAGATGATGAAACGATGTATTTACAAGCCGAGCCACATGTTTCGCCTCCTCAATTAGTCAGGGGGTAGTTGGAGGGCTTTTTTGCCCATGCCATTTCGTCTGTGGTGGCCTGCATTCCCTGCCTATGTAGGGTAGTGTTTGGGGGGGGGGGGGGGGGGTTGGGGGGGGAACCCCCTTTGTAGGGCGGGGGGGGTCTTGATGGAATGGGGTCTTGTCATCAGTGAGGGCAGTTCCTTATATGATGGATGTTGTCAGGGTAATGTCTTTGGGAGCCGAGACCGAGGTCTTTTTAAGACGTCCACGTGTTGTCTTTTGATTGGGCAGCTTGGCTCGGTGCATGCCGAGCGTCAACAAGTCCCCCAACTCTCCGGGAAACTTCCCTTGGGTGGGGAGTTTGTCTGTTTTTTACAAAGCTGCCCGATTTGGGAAACGTCTTGGAAGGATAGAGGTGTGCATTAGATGCGTGCGGGGAAGCGGGCGTTTTCCTGGTCGGTCGGCCTAGTGAGTCCCCCAACTCCCCATATAAGGGCTGGCTTGCCTCTGGTAGACGGAACGGTGCGGACGCGTGTTGGATGTTCGGGATGCGTGACATATATTGTGAGGGTTATGATGAGTCCGGGCAATCAAAGTGGGTGGGACGTTTGGGGTCGTGTCGATTAGGAAATACAAGGCATCACTGCCGCATGTCGTGATCCGGAGGCGGTAGCGATAGGATCGGACGGTGGTTGGAGCGCGGGTTGGGGTATATAAACCCTGGGATGCGAAAGTTATTCATTTTCGCCTCTGTGATATTGCTTCGACTAACGTCCCTGTGAGCTTCGTTCTGGGAGTCCGAGTTAGTGTTCGCAAAGGAGGAGCTAGTGGGGCCTGAGCTAGGCAGGAGAGGTCCGTGTTTAAGCCAAGTGAGAGTCCCTCTTTCTCTGTTTGTTTTAATTGTTGTGGTAACGATGTCTGGGGGGACAAATGGGAGTGAGTCCAATAGGGGTAGTACAAATTTCAGAGCGTTGGATGAGGCCTGGCATCAGTTAGGTGACAGGCTAGTGGTGGGG